AAAAATGGTAGCTTTATGGTATTAGTTGATGAGTAGGAAATAAATTCTCTTTTCTACAATAGGCGTTTTTTTAGTCAGAAGCGGCGTTTCGGTGTAATATATACCATCTTCAGTGACTAAATAACAAAAGGGGTTCAAATTATATACAATCTATATACTCGTCTGTACATAATTAGATTTGATATAAGCTAATAATAAAGTATATACCAAAATATAAGACTAATACTTTAAATTTTTAGCTTTAAATTTTCATACCTTTTTTTCTACATAAAGTAGTTTGACGGTTTGTTACATAATTGTAAGATTACAAGTGGATATCTGGACGGCTCTGGACGTGGCGAGTAGTCTGTCAAGAATGGGTTTTTTGGAATGGAACTTTTTTTATATCGAATACCAATACGGAAATACCAATCGCTAAAAAGAAAAGTTCTATTTAATAGCCCATTCTTGACAGACTACTCGCCACGTCCATGGTTATCCAGATATCCACTTTTAAACTTTTAAAAAAGGTATGTAAATTTAAAGCAGTTCTAAATATTACGATTATATTTTGGTATATTCTTTATTGTTAGCTTACATCAAATTCAATTATGTAATTACCTGTATATAATTAGAACATAATTCATACCAATTTTAATATTTAGATAGTGAAGATGGTCTATGTTAGACCGAAACGCGTCGTATGAAATAAACGCCTATTTTGGAGACAATTTATATCCTACTCATCAAGTTATTATGGATTTCCGCAAAATTAGGTTGGACACTATCAAAAATTTATGGTGTAACATAAAAGACAATAAAACAATAACAATCTTACGTGGCGTAGGTGTCCGCATCGGTTTGGGCGCTCATCACTGTAAGGTACAGGTCCAGGGCATGCGAACCGGACATACTTATAAATGTTTCTTTTTTTTTCAAAAACGTCGGCATTCCGAGGGTGGGCATGATCTCTACTTGCGAATCTTGTACAATAAACATACGACATGAATTGAGATGCGGTTCGTCGGAGGTAGTAACATCAAAACCCTTTATTTGTTATTTCTGTTGATTTGAGGTAAGGCTAACTATGAATACCGACCTTAGAATGCCACAATTATTAATGCTAAGAACGGTAATAAAGTGGGCCTATGAAATGAGCCGTGGTCCAAGAAAGATGAAACACAAAAAGAGTAAAACTTTCGGCCATAAAATGGAAAACGCCCTTCCTTCCTTTAGAGTTGCACATTAAGCAGGTTTCGTTTACATCCTCCTTTCTTCCTAGCCTATATTTAAAAAACGACTGTTCGCACCTTAATTTCAAAAGCTAACAAAACCTCCAAGTCGATGTATATTTAATTCTTGGTTGTCTGTACGAAATAAATGTATAAAAGAAAGAGCAATGTTCAAACATTTTTTTTCTATCATTCATTTTTACTTATTGAGAAAAAGAGAACTCGATAATTTCAATATTTCGGGTAGTTAAGTTTAAAATTTAATAGAACAAAACAACAAAAATTAAATTTTCATACTTTATTCAATTAATCTTCTACTTTTTAAACGATTACTTGAAATTATCGAGATCCGAAAGAAAACCTCGATATCTTCAGAGTGACTCAAGGTGATGTAGGTTTCAGAAAAACATTTTCTTTATCGTGCCAACGTTTTGATCTTTATTGAGATCATCTTCAGGGCACGAGGTGTTTGTTTTCTGCGTAATGTGCCATTCTTGCGTGTCGTGTTGAGAGTGCCCTGGGCCTCCTCGGAGGTCACGATAGCTCAAGTGGTAGAGTAGCTGCGTATCAAGCCTCGGGTCGTAGGTTCGAATCCCAATCAGGACACTAACTTTTATTAATTGAGTTTCGATCTTTATTGAGATCATCTTCAGGGATCAAAGCTTTTGTCTTCCGTGTAGATGTGTCATTCCTGTTCGTGTGCCAGTCTCAACACGACAGAAAGGAATGACACATCAACACGGAAGATAAACACTTTGAGCCCTGAAGATGATCTCAATAAAGATCGAAACGTTGGCACGATAAAGAAAATGTTTTTCTGAAACCTACATCACACCAGATCGCATCTCACGATTTCTGAATAATCATCTACTAACGGTCACTAATCACCACACATTCATTTTTACGTTTTCAGTGAATTATGGTCAAGAGCCAATGGCATACCATGAGCAGCTCTAAAGAATAATCCTAAGCGTTGTAATTTTAGTAAAGCGGGAATCATCATATTGTAATACTCTGCAGACGTATACTATGTGAATGTTAGGTACGCGGTATGGGGCTTTATCGGATTCTAAAATAGAATGAAATTTGGAGTTCATGTTGGCAAGGAAAATATTTTTCGAATAAAAAATCTTAAAACGTTTCAACTTTGTCATACTACCTAAAGCCCTTGACTTGAGAAGTGTTAGTCGATATGGACGGGCAAGGACCATTAAAACGCTTGACCTTTGCTTACCATGAGACCGAATCCTGCGTAATCAAAACCCTACAGATAGTATGTAAAGCCGTTTTTGCGAAAGTTACTTTTTGTTTCAAGTACCTTGCTATGGAAAACTCGCGGATGATCCCGAGATATTTATATTGGATACTAAACTCGAACTTGTTCTCCTTGACCACTTGGTTTGATGTCCTTCCGATTTACTGTTCTACAATTGACCATATCAATTTCGGAATTTTTTATTTTGCTGGAGTGCAGAGGGATTGTCGAAAATCAAAAATATGTCTGTGGCATATAGCAACTTTTTTTTTAATATAACCATATCAACACGTACTCCCAACAAATGATTAAAAAACAAATCACTAAATAAACACACATTTCAATTAAACATTTTATGTCATACTAATATTGATAATAAATAATAATAAGAAATTAATTAATACTGGATTGTCGCAATTCAAAAATAAGTCAGTTGCATAAAGCAATTTTTTGAATATAACCATATCAACACGTACACCCAACCAGAGTAAATTAATCATTATGTGATTTAATCATGATTAATTCAATCATGAGGTATGACTAAATCATACAATGATTAATTGACTCATGACTAATGCAATCATGATTAAACCAATCAAAATTCTTAATCATGATTGAAGTAGTTAGATTTTGCCCAACTCTGGCTACAATGACCAACTTACCAAAATCCAACAGACTCCGGATAAAAATTTTGAGATGAGAGTTGTGCTCAAGGCCAACATTCAAAAAGTGTTATCATAAACAAACACCAAAGTTACATAATTATTCTACATGTCTATTTTATTACATTCAAGACCCTTAGATGGCGTTTTTTCCAAATAATGTAGAAATCTCTCCTTTCAAGTGGAATAAATTTTAATTAAAGAAATACTTTTTCCATTAATCGGTTATGTAAACATTTACTTTTCAAAGCGTAGCTTGGTCGAAGATTTTTTTAAATTTTATTATTATTATCATTATTTTTCGGATGTTCATAATAAAGTAGTTTTACTTATAATTGGAAGATTGATTTTTGTTAAATAAGGTGTTGAAGGATTTTCGTTTTGATGAGATAAATTTCTGTTAGAAAATTTTTTAAAAGTGATGAAGTTGTGTATTATTCATTTTTTGAACACCCATTTGAACATGATTTATCGAAATTTAGTCATGACTAACTATATTGTGACTAAATTAGTCATGCCTCGTATTTAATTACTAATCATGACTAATTTAGCCATCAATCACATATGGTGACTAATGACTAAATTACTACCAATCATGACTAACGGTTTGAGTGATCAATCATTAATCATAAGACATGCTAATTTTTGCCCAACACTGCACCCAATTTCAATTTTTTTTAAATGATACCATAAACTTTCCATGGGCAGAGGTACTATCTATGAGAAAAAAACCAATGATGAATTTTAAGGAAAAAATGCAAGACTGGGGCAGTAGATACTGCCAGTACTCACGACGTGTCCGTCGTGCGGGGTTAGTCTCTTGTAGCGCCGTATAGAATCCATATTATTTTCGTAAATGAAAAAATACTAACAGTAAGTTTCAGAAGTTAAAATCGTATAAAAATGTATTAATAACTAAATCCGCCCTCTGGTCAACTAATTAAGATTGAAATCACCAGAGATTCTTAATATAAGTTTTTAAAAGTTGACAGAAGCGAATTATTTTTTTCTGCTGGACGTTTGCTTTAATGATATTTTTATCCAGTCATCCACAAAGCAAAACAACCACGCAAAAAAATAAGTGGTTGAAGAATAATTTATGTTTGTTAATAAAACAGATAAACGCACACCCATAATTTTTTTTGCTTATTTCAAATATGTTCGTTTAAAAATAGTTTAATTCCAACTTGTAACTGCTAACATATTAATTATTTTACTTCTTAAGCAAGGGATGTTTAAAGTGGTTTTTATTTATTCATTAGGAGTCAAATCTTACAAAAAACAATCCTTGGCTATTAAAGGACTTTTAATATGTTTTAAAAAATATCTCAAAATTTCATCGTTTTATTCTAAAAATATTTATGTTTTCCTTCAGAACTCGATAATTTCAATATTTCGGGTTTAAAATTTAATAGAACAAAATAACAAAAATTAAATTTTCATACTTTATTCAATTAATCTTCTACTTTTTAAAAGATTACTTGAAATTATCGAGTTCCGGAGGAAAAAGCTCGATATCTCCAGAATGAATCGATGAATGTTTGACTTTGTGGTACTTTTTCAGAATGAAAAGGACTTTCAAAACGTGTGATAAAAATAGGGCATTAAATTTTAAAAAAATTGATCTCAATTTTTTTCTTTACTCGCCATCTTATTAAAATAATAATGGCAATAGGAGATTCTATGTAAAACATTATTTTTGGAACTATACTTAGGTTTATAATAAAATAAGCTGCGTAAAAATAAAAGGCCACATCTTTCATAAAAACTCACGCGGCATATGTGAAAAAAGCACCCGATATTTATTGCCGACATAAAACATTGTTCACTATACATGTATATATGAAATCGACATTAATTATTTATTTACAGTAAAGTTTCATCACTGGCGGTTGGACAAAATTAGAACTGTTATTTACGCAATGCTGTTGTACAGATTATCACTTCCAATTCATTGATGATTGTCTTATACATTTTTAAGTACATAATTAATAAATGTTTATCTTGGCACACTATTGATGTGGTAAGTATAAAAAGTGAAATAGTTTATACAAATATTGGATTCTGTTGCAAACTTAGTAGGAGAGTGGACGATGAGAAGATTGAGAAGAGGCACTCCCCATACCACATACGACGGCCTGCCAAACAAACAGTCTCGAACAAGAAAGTAAGAAAAAAATTCACCCTTTCTGTGCAACATCGACGAATTCTCTGCCAAAAATCCACTCGAGCAAGGACCTGTCGAATTGTCAGTCGTGATCCCGGTTTCACAAATTAAAATGGAATGAAAACGAATTATTTGCTATTGATTTATTTATTATTTAGCAGACTTAGCTAATTTAAACCGATCAGTTGGCTCAAAACGAGCCTCGAGAAAATTCCTCTTAAATTCATAACCCATTCCAAATTATTTTTTTGTTTCTCAACTTGGAAAATATTTTCCATGTCGCCACACCAACGTATGAAAATTCATGATGGTAATTTTGAAAAGTTTTAAACTGAAATCTACTTGAGTGTAAAAGTTATCCACTTACTCGGTCACTTTTATTAATGCAAAGCACTACGTCAACAATACAGCCTCATAAAAAATAATAGTTGCGATTGCACACTAACCTTAAACGCTTTAGAAGGATCTACCGTTTTTCAAATATTAATATCTTAATACTTTGTCAATCGTTGAAATGCAAAGATAATTTATCTTACTATATTTATTGAAATCTTCTTAAAATATTTCAGAACTATTTTGGTTGTTTTTCAGTTACCAAACTACATTTTTAATGAATGTCTTTGTCCCTTTTCTTGACTAATGATTTTTTTTCCATATACATTGGTGTTGTATTTTTGACGAACTCTAGTTCTTTAATTTTTCTTTTTTTAATGACGAATGAATTTCGGATTTTTCCATAACCCGTCCGGAGCTTATGTTGAACCGCACTGAGTTACTTATCGTGGTCCATTTTCACTTTGCGACTTTGCCGGTTTGTTGAATTATTCAAACGATTTTCGGCATTGCACCATCCTCTGGTTTAGCTGTAGCAACTACTTTGGGAAAGGTTTGTTGAGCATAAGATCTAAATCTGGCACCTCTAATTCATCAACACACCTTAAAAAATCACGTCATTCATCTGCAAATCTGCAAGATTCGAAAATGGCAATTGTGTTAGATTCTTGTTGGATAGGAATTAAAATGTACAAATTCAGTAATAATGTTGATGATGATAAGGTTGCATTTTACTTGGAATCGAAGTTATAGTGTTCTGCGACTTTATGATTTATTGTACTTTCCTAGTTTCTTAGTTCAGTTCAACTGACTTGATTCTCTTTTCAAGAAGGCCATTGATTGTCGTAGCTGCAAGTTTTTTTGTATGGGTCTCCTTCGTTCTTTAGATTGTTTCTACTTAGCTGTTGCTTTGTATTCGAAGATAACATGTTGACAAAATAAAATAAAGTCATCGTCGAATATGCTCATGATGTGAATCTGTTTTCTTACATTTTCCACTGTTTGTTCTGTTACATTAATGACAAGAACAACTTAATTGATTTTCAGCCTATCTTTCTATTGTTTACATATTTCTGCGTTCTTTTTCCTTAAATATTGCTTAAATTTTATATCGATTGTTAACATGTTCAATGCCTAGCTTAATATTTATATTATTACTGCATACATTTATGAATATATTTCCCTCCCAGTAAAATTTAATTATTGTATGTTCCTTTTTGTCTATTTTCTCATTTTTGTTACCTGTTTTATGGTTAGTTTAAATACCTTTTTTTTTTAAATGCGTAAGAACGACATTTCAGTTATTTTATAGTATATATATATATATATATATTTATCCTTAATAATTCTTATTCGGAAATCGAGAGATGCGGTCTGGTGTGATGTAGGTATCAGAAAAACATTTTCTTTATCGTGCCAACGTTTCGATCTTTATTGAGATCATCTTCAGGGCCTGGGATTTACAAACATTGTTTAAATTTAACAAATACATATAGGTTGTAGAAAAAAAATAAGAAAATAATGAATTCTGTAATTGATGCTGTGTTTATCTCTGTTGATTTCTAATTAAATTAAGTAAATTTCTAAAAAGTTACGTGTATGTTTGTTTTGTTCTGTGTGTAATATTTTTGCATTGTTGAAGTCGAAATTGTGTTTGTGTTCAAAATGGTGGGTAAAGAATACTGAGTGTCACTGGCACTCTCAACACGACACGCAAGAAAGGCACAATTACGGAGAAAACTTTGAGTGAGTATAAATACATTGATTGGATATAAAAAATATTTTTTTGCATTGTATAAATTCACTTTTTTCCACATCGTACGTGTATTTGTTAAATTTAAACAATGCTTGTAAATCCCAGGCCCTGAAGATGATCTCAATAAAGATCGAAACGTTGGCACGATAAAGAAAATGTTTTTCTGAAACCTACATCACACTAGACTGCATCTCACGATTTCTGAATAATCATCGACTAACGGTCACTAATCACCAAACACTTAATAATTTTCACTCTTTTAGCGAAAAAGTTCCATTATTTAAATGTAAAAATAAAGTAATGACTATACTTTATTCTTTAAATGCATAAATTGTCTGTATAATCTGTAAAATTATAGCCCAATAAAAAACTACTCCCCCTCCTTTCATATCTTATGAACGGTCATAAACCCTGCTTATCACTACAAAAAGAATACAGTTAACTTACTTCCGTGATGATTATTATCAGTTGGCTAAATTTAGATTTTTAAAATCAAATTTTGAAAAAAACATTTCTTCTCCTCAATGAAATTGTTACTAGTAATCCTTATAACAAGCATCGATGCAGTATAAAATTGAACATGCCCGGAAAATTGGAATTAGTTGAGCCCAGCTAAGATCCATAGAAAATTAACTGGGGCAAACTTGGCAGCCAACTTCGTTTCGGCGGTTGCAATTGTTTTCTAAGGTTGATACCCTTTCAGATTGTAAAGGGTGGTTCGAACTTAGTTCATTCAAAATGTTTAGGAGTGAACCGGCAAGTGAAATTAATATTAAACTTATTCAAAGCGACCAGTTGTAATTAGTTAATGGCTAATGCCTGATAGTAAAATACTGAGTGGGTTGTTTCTTATTACTTTTTAATAGCCAAATAATAGCTGAATCGTCTTAAGTAATTAGATTATAATCCTTTACTAAGATAATAAAATTAATAAGTTTTGAACTATACAAGGTGGCCCCAATCGATTCAGCCACACTTCCAGATCTTATAGGAAATTGAACGCTGAGTAAAAAAGGTCCTATAAACCTGTGTCCGCAAACCCTTCAGTTCCGAGCTACAGGCAAAAAACCACGAAAAATCACATTTTTTGACCTTATTCGTTAAATTGATACTAACCGTTAGCCTGACCCTAAAACAGCTCAAAACAACATCTGTAGTCGAATGAAATTAAAACCAGCCTGATCGGCCGAAATTTTTATTTTTGGCTATTTTTCGAATTTAGGAGGTGAAGGGGTACAGAAAATTTGCCATTTCTGACATTTTTATCGAAAATTCACAACTTGAACACACTATAAAAAAATTCTCCGTTAGATTTTTCGTACATTATTTCATTCAGTAGGGGGTACCCATCAGAAAACAGTAACATTCGATTTGGGTGATAAGCAATAAATTAGCCAAAATTCGAATGTTTCATGAATCGGACTGGTGTTGGTCTAATGTGACGGAGAATTCGGTCATTAACAAACGAGGTTTGTAACGGAGAATTTTTTGATAGGGTGTTCAAGTTGTGAATTTTCGATTAAAATGTCAGAATTGGTGAATTTTGTGTACCCCTTCACCTCTTAACTTCGAAAAATCGCCAAACATGCTTCTTTTTTTTGACAACTCGACAAAGCATAAGTGTTAGACTTTTACTGTGCTAGAGGATTGCTTGAAGAACACTCAGCGTCAGTCTTACTCTATTTTGATGAAGTTTAGTAGTTATCATTGCAAAGCCAAGATAAAGTTTTAATTAGTTTTCCTTAGAGCCCCAAAGGATGCATCATCTTTGTCTACTACAAGTGATTTTGCTTTCTACTCTCTGGCTGACGACCTTCTATCGACCGGTATTAATTCCTAGGTTCTGGGATTTCATCAGCCCGAGAACAGTGGCAGTGTCCGTTGTGCCCAGAATTTCACGATCCGGCATAAACTTGGCCACTCTAGTGGGTTTTCAATCCCCACAGGTGGCAGGTACCATTTCTATGAGCCATTCCTTGGCACTTAGGGTTTTACAGGCTATCAGGACTGCCCCTTTTTCACCGCATTCCTTAACTGAGGAACTTTGGAGTGATCCCTGACGGCTGTCAACACTTTATCCGGGTATCCTTCCAAAACCACGGCCATCTTTAGTGCGTTGAAGGTTTGCTGGTATGTTTAATTTCTTTCGGTGAGGGGGATGGTTCTTTCCACATCGCTTCTCTCAATTTTGCTTCTTTAGGGCATATCGTAGGAGTACATCCATTTGATGATGGAGTACTATTCGGTGAGTATACCCTTTTACCACTTTTGGTCGGGGTTGACCCTAGTTTGTTGGGTACAGTAGTCGGCCTCGGAATCCGGAAATGAAAATTATTCCTTTCCTGATTATTTTCACTATTGGTCCCCCTTTTGTGTGGATTGTTTGATTGCAATTTTACGCCTCTGAGCCCCTGAGATTTTCTTTGGTTTGAGGTGTAGTTTTTCAATCTTCTCCGTTACCTCCATTTCAGTGGTTTCGTCTTCTGGTTTGGTATAGCTTCCTGAAGACCCCCATCGCATCTCTAGAAGTTTACGCAAGTAGATTGTCCTACAATTCTTGGTTTATGGGAGTTGAAAAGGGTTCGGAGACCTCTTCAATTTCCATAAGTTGGTTTTTGGGGTCTCCTTTGCAGGTTCCCCCAATGTTAATTTCGTTTGTTCTATCCATATGATTCCTAGGAGTGTGAGGGATCTAAAAGTCCGCGCCGTAGGAACCCTCTCTCCGGTGTAAAGTTGATTACTCACGGGGGTCACCTGGTACCCTTGAAGCTCTGTTATTGGAAGAGATACCCCTGTACCTACCATCCATCGGCATCGCATAACACTCTAGAATCGGGCTGGATTGTGAGATTAGGATTGGGATTTGGGTAGGAGGAGGAGTAAGGTGTGGGGTGTAGGGTTTATAGTTTCCGTCTCTTTCATCATCAGAGTACACCCGCTTATAAGCTTCATGAGCTTGGAGTTGAGTATTATTGGGTTGTCCGGAAAATAATGCAGGATTTTGGTATTAAACAAAAAAAAAGAAACTAG